TGCGAAAGGCCAGAGAGTGGTGAATAGTTGAGAAGGTTGTGACTGGTATGGAGGGCCGGGCAGCAGATGACGTGACTCCAGGCAGCAGTAATCATGTCAGAGTAATCAGTAATCATTAATCAGTATAATATACATCAAAACGGGACATTATGTCAATGTTCTGGTTCAGACCGACAACCAGAGCGCAACTCCAGTCTCCCGAGACTGATGGATGCCTTCTACTTAATCAGTTTAGTAGTTCCATTTATTTAGAAGTTTCGTTAGCAAGTAATTAACATAAAATCATTACAACTGTGGCTGGATTGAACAGGTGAACATCCATAATATACTTAGAGTATAAAAGCCTCAACTTTGACATTAGAAGCTGTATGTTTTGTCAGTATAAATACAAATTTGGGGTTGAAATGTGAAGATCTAACATAAACTAATCATTCACACAAGTGGTTAAACTCTCCGATGAGGTACGTCTCATCGTCCATTCTCCCACCACCACAGTCTGAGCGATCCTCACACCACAATAGACGTAACCTCACTTAATGTTTACGAGTATTTTCTTCTTGTTTATCGTCTTCACAGAGCTCAAATGAAAGAAGTATTCATTAATTACCTGAATTACTCAAGTGCATTTGTAATTACTGCAATTACTAGAAGCAACAGCTAATTGGGCTTTCATCAACTTTCGTAATTGGTTGATATTTTATCTAACAGGTGAGCACCAGATTATCATGAACGGTGGAGCCTCGGTCCATATGCACTCGGCTTTAACATGCGTACTGTCGGCGAAGAAGCAGTGTAACCACGTGAGGTGGCGAGCCAGGCGTGCGTCCAACGCCTCGCCTCACCTAAGTTACGGGCTCACCATAGCCCGTGCTACTTGGAACTTTTTCCGAGTAGCTGAATCTGTAACAAGAACGTGCGTCCCAGCATTCGCTGTGAGGAGGGACACCACTGAAGCAGCCAAGGAGCGTGTCTTATCAACGACGGAAACAAAGGACTGGTGGGACATACTTATGGTGTCTGACGAAGTAAGGCAATTTTCGGAAAGCGCTAACCCATTATGGCAATATTACACATCTGACAACTAACTGCTGTTCGTGCCGGTAAATGACAGCTCTTACGCCTGTACGTGGAAGCAGAGGCAGACATGTATTCGGAATGGATCAGAGGAAATAAAATGGCGGGTGCAGCAGTAGAGCTGACTCTCTCATGGATGATTAAGCGTCCTATTAGATACAACCCAGGCGGCTCTCAGCCTCTGTGACAGGCCAGCTCTGACTTATGGCAGGCTGTAATGACTAAATCGTTTCAATGCACGACTCTCCCATCAAACAGATTTCTCGCTCTACCCAAGGGCTAGTCCCAGGGAGCATATCATGCAGGCGGTGTGCAACATAACATGCAGTGTCACACGCCTCGGCTGGCAACAGTTGAAGACTTCTTGCTGTACTGCATGACCCAACGTCCATGCTTGCATAGTTGGTCCCGGTATCCAAGTGGCGTAAACATGAAGTCTGCTGTGTTTACCGAGGTGCCCGCTACCCAACAGCACGTCTCTCCATGCGGTCGCCTCAACCTGTTAGTGATGATAGCAAGCGGTGTTTAATAGGTTTACTGGCTCATCATTATTACTGGATCACATTAAAGAACTATTAGCTGAATATCAAATAAATGGATTTAAACTATTTCACACAGATAGATATATTAGACGAGGAGGGGGAGTAGCCATATATGTTAGGGACAATTTGAAATGTAGTCTCAAAGAGGGAATCAAAACTGAGCCACACACAGAAACTATTTGGATAGAATTAAACGAAAAAGCAAATAATATTATAATAGGAGTTATATATAGGCCACCAAATTTAGACAGAATGGAAGCAAAGCATCTATGGGATGAAATATCTAGAGCATCTAGATCTAACAGTATTTATGTCATGGGTGACTTTAATTTTAATGGAATACATAAGAACATAAGAACAAAGGTAACTGCAGAAGGCCTATTGGCCCATACGAGGCAGCTCCTATTCTATAACCACCCAATCCCACTCATATACTTGTCCAACCCGTGCTTGAAACAATCGAGGGACCCCACCTCCACAATGTTACGCGGCAATTGGTTCCACAAATCAACAACCCTGTTACTGAACCAGTATTTACCCAAGTCTTTCCTAAATCTAAACTTATCCAATTTATATCCATTGTTTCGTGTTCTGTCCTGTGTTGATACTTTTAATACCCTATTAATATCCCCCCGGTTATGTCCATTCATCCACTTGTAAACCTCTATCATGTCACCCCTAACTCTTCGCCTTTCCAGTGAATGCAACTTAAGCTTTGTTAATCTTTCTTCATATGAAAGATTTCTAATTTGGGGAATTAACTTAGTCATCCTACGCTGGACACGTTCAAGTGAATTTATATCCATTCTATAATATGGCGACCAAAACTGAACTGCATAATCTAAATGGGGCCTAACTAGAGCAAGATATAGCTTGAGAACCACACCAGGTGTCTTGTTACTAACGCTGCGATTAATAAATCCAAGTGTCCGATTTGCCTTATTACGAACATTTATGCATTGATCCTTTTGTTTTAAATTCTTACTAATCATAACTCCCAGATCCCTTTCGCAATCCGACTTCGCAATCACAACACCATCTAGCTCGTATCTTGTAACTCTATCATCATTACCTAACCTCAGAACTTTACATTTATCAGCATTAAACTGCATCTGCCAATCCTTTGACCATTTCAAAACCCTATCTAGATCAACTTGAAGTGATAGTGAGTCCTCCTCCGAATTAATTTCCCTACCGATTTTCGTATCATCGGCAAATTTGCAAATGTTGCTACTCAAACCTGAATCTAAATCATTTATATATATTATAAACAACAGAGGTCCCAGGACAGAGCCTTGAGGCACTCCACTT